CCCCAAAACTCTACAGGTGCCCTTTGCGGTCGCCGGAAGCATTCCCAAATGTTCGTAATTAACATAAGTTACGGGCCCCTGTTTTTGTGTGTACCAACAACAACAACAACAACAACAACAACAACAACAACAATATAACCAACACATGTAACGCAACAATCTCAACAACAATAAGCAGGTTCAATGCGAAAACATAATAAATAATAAAGCACAGCTCACGGGACCAAGCAAATCCAAGCCCATCAAATGCTGCTGTTCTGGCAAAAGCTAAGGTCTCACTCGTTGAAGAACTGGACCCTAAACCCTGAACAAGCAACGGCGCCGAAGATCCTGAGCAAGGTGAACACGACCACAGCAGCGCGCGCTACGACCCAGAAATCGACTCCCAAGCACAAGGTATCGTTTAGGGTCCCCCTTCATCCATCCATATCTTCCCTGGACGACGGCAGAAGTCGGCAACTCCCCCACCAACTCTNNCCCCCCTCCCCCCCCAAAAAAAAAAAGGCCCTGCGCCCGAAGTACCCGTCCTCCAGGTCCAGAATCCGGCCCCTGAGGATCCAGTAGTCGCAGAGGAAGATGCCTGAACGAGTTTAGAGGCATTTTTTGAGTGCACCGGGTTTAGGTATCGGGATTTTAGAAAGTGCTAAGGGTTTGGGTGCCGATAAGCTTTGACCGAAACGTGTTGACAAAAAGTTTTGAGCAGATGGTCTTTTTGGAACCTGAAATTTCGAATCTGGGGCTGATGGAGCCGCCTGAAACCTTGCTGTGCATTTTGGCTGATGGCTGCGGGCTACCTTGCTTTGCTTTGCATTGGCGGCGGTGGCAGCTAGTTCAAGGTGCACAAAGACACGCACTTTCTATGTGTTTCAATTCTTGAGGGTGTAGGGTTTAGGTGTTGGGTTTGAGGTTCAGGCTTTTACAGCTTTAGGAAATGGGGCTGTTTAGGGCTTGGGGTAAAGAAAGTGAGCGCTTGGGATGCCCAAGACCCGAGGACTCAAGTATACAACACACCTAATTACTTTGGGATCAAGGGTCCCCAAGTAATACCTATACCTATCGGCGATTAAACCCTAAACCCTGAATTCTTCGGGATCAGGACTAGCTTCTACAGCCGCATGTCTCTTAACCGCTGCCAAGCTCGGGGGAATTCGTACGCAAGGCTGTGAGCACCGTAACCAGGGTCTTGATGGGTAGTTGTCAAAATTATGGTCCGTTCTGGGGTACCCTAAATAATAGGTGCCGTATTATAATAAGGACCCAAAAGGGAGGAGGACATGGCATGACTATACTCACCTTCTTTGCGACCAAAGATCCGCCAAGCCATATGATCCTTGAAGTAGTAGTATACCAACCTAACCCTAAACCCTAAACCCTAAACCCTAAACCCTAAACCCTAAACCCTAAACCCTAAACCCTAAACCCTAAACCAACCCTAAACCCTAAACCCCCAACCCGAGATCCGAAAGTGTTGAAGAAGCACTCGGTCCAGATCCCAGAGGCCAGCGATGGCGCCCGTGACCATGGCGTAGCCGGAGAGAAAGCTGAGCACAAAGGAGACCTCTTAGGAGCTCTGGGTACGTATAGAATCTGCTACAGGCAGGATCCTCCTTGCAAGTTCAAGCCGGGGTTTTTGATCCCAGCGATTTTGGAGGAGTGTTAGGGTTCGGTGGGAATGACACCAGAGACATACAAACACGATGATACAAACTTTTTCAGACCCCAACCCATAGACCCTAGCCCCGAAACTTTATACATGTTCAGAGTATAATGCTAGCCACTGCTGAGAAGCACGGTAGGCTGTTGCGATTTCCTTGCCCTACATCCCCGCAGAGAAAATAGCTCCAAACGGCATTCGCCTTGCCAGAGAAGGTCCACCAGGGGCAAACAGCGAAAGAGAGGAGAAGGACCTCAGCGCAACGCTGCGGAAGACGGGGTTTCGGACTCTTGATCTCTGTTTCTCAGGATGAGGGCTTACCTGGATCCTAAAGAACCTACCTTTTTCGGGTTCCAGATTATGATTTGTTTATGTAAGTCCTTAGAAAGGTAGGCTGTTGGGGTTAAGGTAGGTTATAAGACTTCGTCAAGTTGTTGGAGGCTCTCATCAGCTCCTTCATGAAGGATAGTCTACGACTTCAGGAAGCTGTCTCTTGGTTGCTTTTTATAGGTTGCTTTCGCAAAGAAACTTCCTCAGGGGATCCGTATGGCACTAGGAGGCTGAATCGAAATGCGAAGAGCCTCAAATTCAAAGACGTGAAGTCTAATTAAGTTAGAAACCCGACTACTCCACGAAGCAAAGCCCCGGAAGCCCGGTGACTTGAAATCCTAATCCTTATGTGCAACAGCAGCAATTCCTCTCCGTGAAGGCCTAGAGCTCCCAACAAGAAGAGCCGGCGTCAAACTGCCACGTTTAGGGTTTAGGGTTTAGGTTTTAGGGTTTAGGATCTAGGGTCACGGCTTAGGGTTTAGAATGGTGATGGAGTGCTGTCCGTCGAAGCGAGGCTATTGGTCTGGAGGCAAGCGTGCCTCTGTCCTGAACTACTGCAGGTGCCTGAACCCAGAACTCTCTTCTGAATGCCTGAGCCATCTGTGAGCAAGACTAAACATCAAGTCATCCAGCAACTAAGCCCTTAACTCTAGCTCCTCCCCAAGCCTGGAGTTGTGCTTATGAGCTATCTGCTATTGAATGCATGTCCACGTGGCCTTTATAGGCAGGGCATAGGAGCATTCACAGGAGACCGAGGCCTGTGATAGGACCCTGGACGCTATGCTCCAAACGGAAACCCTAAACCCCTGCGAACTGCGAATCCCCATCCTTCACAGCACCTCTTGAAACTCGTACCACACGAGAAGGGATCCCAACCCCATGGTCCCAAAACAACGGATTTAGGCTTTACAATAGGGTTTAGAGTTTAGGGCTTTGGGTTTAGGGTTTGGGCTTTAGGGTTTAGGGCTTAGGGTTGAGGTGAAACAAGAAAAAGAACACCCTGCAGCTTGGCGGCGAAGAAGCCGCAGCCGCGGTAGGTGAAGCGCTTCGGTGCCAGGTTCATGATGTCCTAGGCGCTTTCGGGTGTTGCTTGGGTTGGAAATAGTGCTGCAGACTGCTAAAACGGCTTGGAAGAGCTTCTAAACCCTAAACACTAAAACCCTAAATCTAGCGATAGAGATTTGAGTGTTTAGGGTTCCTTGATGGGGCTCTCTTCCTGGAAGGGCTGGACGGCATATGCGTTTATAACCGAAGGTGAACTCGAGTTAAGGAAAGCTTTGATAGCCCGAATGTGGGGGCCTTCATGATAATTTGAAGAAAGGAATTTGGGCTCCTTTTCTAGTAATATTATAATAAGGCACCCTAAAGGATAATGTTGGTAACTATACAGGCTTTCCCTGTAACCGAAAAGACCTACTTTTTTAAGGAACTATATATAGAAACCATAATAAGGAACCCTAAAAAGGTAGGTCTTTCCGGCTACAGGTCTGTATTATGGAGACATCATGGTATCGGTTTGTGGGGCTTGGTGAGCAGGGCAGAGCTCGCTGTTTCTGTTGGGTCGTGCTTCTTTCCTTGGGCACTATGGGGGGCCTTAATACTTAGGGTTTAGGGTTTAGGGTTTAGGGGTTTAGGGTTTAGGGTTTAGGGTTTAGGGTTAGAGCAGGGTGTGGGGGTATATATTATATCATAATCTGAATAAGGAGCTCCCAAAACCCTATTCTAATTATTAAGGCCTTAGTTGATGATACCCCGCGGTTCAGGGTCGGGGGCTACTTTCTCAGGTGGCGGTGGGTGCTTTGGTGTTCGTGGGAATCCGCATCGTGACGCTTGGGATTGAGGGCCGACGGATTCTTCGGCACTTGTGATATCATGGGTACCTGGCTCAGGAATTCAATCTTTTACGCTATATGAAGGCTTACTTGTAGGGTTAGCGGCTCCGGATGTCTACTACTACTATTGTTACTACTACTACTACTACTACTACGACGACGACTACTACTACCACTCCTACTACTCCTCCTACTACTACTACTACTACTACTACTACTACTACCACTACTACTACTACTACGACGAC